CTGATGAATTCACAAGCTTAGATATGAGAAATGGTTACAATAATCTACGAGTAAGGGAAGGCGACGAAGCTAAACTAGCATTTATCTGCAGACAAGGACAATTTGAACCCTTAACCATGCCCTTTGGCCCGACAGGTGCGCCCGGTTTTTTCCAGTACTTCATTCAAGATATCTTAAAAAATCACATTGGAAGAAATGTAGCTGCATACCAAGATGACATCTTAATTTATACTAAACGAGGTGAAAATCATCAGAAAATAGTCAAAGAAGTCCTAGATATATTGAAAGCTCAAAATGTCTGGCTTAAAACCAAGAAATGCAAATTTTCGAAAAAGGAAATCAGTTACCTAGGCTTAGTTATATCACGAAATCAAATCAAGATGGATCATACCAAAGTCAAAGCAGTAACGGAATGGCCCAATCCTTGCAACGTATCAGAAGTTCAAACATTCATTGGCTTTGCCAACTTCTATCGTCGATTCATCAGTCAGTTTTCAAAAATAGCACGCCCACTACACAAACTTTCTCAAAAAGAAACCAAATTTGAATGGACCAAAGAGCGTGAAGAGTCTTTTCAGCTCCTGAAAAAAGCATTCACAACAGCACCTATTTTAAAAATTGCTGACCCTTATAGGCCTTTTGTTCTAGAGTGTGATTGCTCTGACTATGCTTTGGGTGCCGTGTTGTCGCAAATTTCACAAGATGACGGCGAACTACATCCAGTAGCATTCCTTTCACGATCCCTCATCAAAGCTGAACGAAACTATGAAATATTTGATAAAGAACTACTGGCAGTCATCTCGGCGTTCAAGGAATGGAGGCAATATCTTGAAGGTAATCCAAACATATTAAACGTAATAGTTTACACTGATCATAAGAACCTTGAATCCTTAATTACGACCAAGGAGTTAACAAGATGTCAAGCTTGGTGGGCAGAGATACTAGGAAGCTTTGACTTCGAAATTCGATTCCGACCAGTCAAGCAGTCAACTAAACCGGATGCTCTGTCAAGAAGACCAGACCTGATGCCCCCAAACTCAGAAAAATTATCATTTGGACAGCTTCTCAAACCCCACAACTTACCAAGCAATGCGTTCATTGATGAGCTTGATTTCATAGAGAATTGGTTTTTAGAGGGCGAAACTGGAACTCATATCGAAATACTTGATGCTGAAGTGAACAATGAAGTCTTAAATGATACTGAAATATTGAATGAAGTCAAGCGTAAAATGAAAAATGACTCAAGAATAATTGAACTCATGAAATTATGTGAACAATCATCATTCTCAAAAATAACTAATGACTACAAGGTAATCAATGATATATTGTACTTTAAAGGGAAAGTCGTAGTTCCAAACGACCCTGAACTGAAGGTCCAGATCTTACGCTCTCGCCATGACAGTCGATTAGCAGGACACCCAGGCAGGATGAGAACGCTGGCTCTATTGAAACGCGGATACCACTGACCGTCAATGAAAGCTTTCACTAATCAGTACGTTGACGGTTGCCAATCCTGCCAACGTGTCAAATCAAGAACGACAAAACCATTTGGAAGCCTCAAACCTCTTCCTATCCCAAGCGGCCCATGGCTAGACGTGTGCTATGATCTCATAACGGACTTACCGGAATCTGAAGGACACGACAGCATATTAACAGTGGTTGACCGGCTAACAAAAATGGCTCATTTCGTACCATGCAGGAAAACAATGAATTCCGACAAACTAGCTGATTGTATGATTAAGAATGTGTGGAGACTTCATGGAACACCTCAAACTATTACATCTGATAGAGGTAACATTTTCATTTCAAAGCTCACAAAAGATATTAACAAAAGACTGGGTATAACTACACAGCCTTCGACCGCATATCATCCTCAAACGGACGGTCAATCAGAAATAACGAATAAAGTTGTCGAACAGTACATAAGGCACTTCACATCATACAAGCAAGACAATTGGAGTTCCTTATTACCAATGGCAGAATTCTCTTACAACAATAATGATCATGTTTCAATAGGTATGTCGCCATTCAAGGCCAATTACGGTTACAATGTCAGCTTTACGGACATACCTTCAGGAGACCAATGTCTACCATCTGTGGAAGCGCGAATGAGTCAAATCAATGACATTCAAAAAGAATTAAAAGACGCGATGCAGCTAGCGCAAGACACGATGACTGAACAACATGACAAGAAAGTAACTCAAACTCCGGAATGTAACATTGGAACAAAAGTATGGTTGAATAGCAAAAATATTTCAACCACGAGACCTACTGCTAAGTTTTCACATCGCTGGTTGGGACCTTTTTCAATACTGAATCGTGTATCCACTAATGCGTACAAATTAGATCTCCCAAAGTCAATGGAAATGATTCATCCAGTATTCCATGTCAACTTATTGAGGAAATTCGACGCAAGCAAAATTGAAAGCCAACATCAAGAACCTCCACTACCTGTCATAATTCAAGATAATGAAGAATTCGAAATATCAGAGATTTTAGACAAAAGGATTCACAAAGGTAAAATTCAATATCTAATCAGCTGGAAAAGTGATGACCCAAGTCACATTTCATGGGAACCAGAAACTGCAATGGGTAACGCACAAGATTTAATTAGGGAGTTTAACGAGAAATATCCTCAAGCAGAACGGCGATACCACAGGGTACGGAGAAAGACGTGAGGGTGAAGCTTTTCCCACTGGGTTTTTAATGCTAACCCGTGGAAAGATGCTGGCCTGTCAAAAGGAGGTCGAGTCATAAAAGGGGGAGTGGTGTTATGAGCCGTATTCTTATACATAGACCACATGCTTGTACTGAGATCTCTGCGTACTTGGAGCTCTGCCAAGCAGACTTTTTACTGCTCTTCATGTTGCACTCTATTACCTACTAGAAGTCATCTTTCACCTCTCTCTTGCATCTCTCTCAAGCACCAAGGCCTTAACACAGCGCACCATAATGATTCCATGCAACCATCTTCAGAGTTAGCAAGACTCTGCAGTACTTAAAATCCGCATTGATATAGCAAGCAATCAATGCTATGAAAGCATATCGATTTCCTCGGGTGGTCCATACATCGTGGACTAACCAGATACGGCTGGTGTTAAACTGTGGAATTGATAAAACGGTCAATTTAAAGAACATAAAGTTAAATAAACAAAATTAACAAACCTTTATTTTTTTCAAAACCTCTGAGTGAAGCGCCTTGTAAACTTTCTTGGCTGTTTGTGCAGCCCATGTTGGTGATTGCATGTTGGCTGACGGGTTGGCCAACTTGAAAGCGCTTCACAAGATTGGGTCAGAAAACCGTGCCCAGGCAAGAGCATGTTGCACAATCCAGAGCACAAGAAGCACGTTGAGCATCTGGACCGTGAAAGCAGGCCGATCAAGGAAACCATCCATGAACTTTCCGGCAGGTGTCTGCTTCTTTGCAGCCTTCTGTAATTGCTGATAAGTTTGTGGAAGCTGCATTCCCGACTTGATTGCCTTCTGACGGTTAACACAAGGTTTGCGATGCTCATCCCCATCTTGATGAGCATAGAGGTTGTTGTTCGATTTGATTCCACGGGTAAACCATTGGCCACAAAAATTACATGGGTAATGACGCTTGAATGACCCAGTCTTGAAAATAGATAAACAAAATAGAAAATCAAACAAATAATGTGAAATGGAATAAATCAGTGATTTTTGAGTCACTAAAAAATACATTCCAGACTCAGGTTTGTTCAATTCCACCAAAACCAGTGAGGTTACACACCAGTTGTAAATCCTCACTGGTTCACAAGCTGATCAGACCTCTGCACCAGTCAGAGCTTGATCATCACTTGCTGATGGAATGTAAACTTGAATCTGTCATTGCAAATGTATCAATGAATGAAGTCAAAGAACAAACAAACCTCCTTCTTATAATTCTCCGGCTTTCCATAATACTTAAGGAGAAAAATAACGTCCTTCGATTGACCCGGACATGTTTCAGCGTTTTCATCTGAAGATGAGACCTGGTCAACGTCAACCACGTCAGGAACCAACTTGTCCTTTGTGCCCTTGCCCTAGAGAAGATAAAAGTAAAACAACATGAGTGGGGATCTGAGAAGCAGACAGCGCAAAACAGAACAAACTTGCCTTTGAGGTCTTTTGCTTTTTCTTGCTGACACTCGGATCCGGTGCGTCAGACTCATCACCATCTTCTTCACGTGGTCGCTTGTCCTGGAAGTTGAACCACCTGTGTCACAGGAAACGCACGGACTGCACCCGTTAAAATGTATGTATGTTTCCTACGGATTGAGCCCGTAAAACAGCACACAGATCAAAGTCAGAGCGACAGATGCATCTGATGATATATCCCGTGTACTTGAAGTCCCTCAACCTGTGTAGGGGCAGATGCATCTGGATGTACTGCCTTGATGAACTTCAACAGACAGCTACCAGATCCATCTGAGAGGCCTATAGCAATGACTGCACTCCAAGCAGAACAAGTCATTACGCACAACAGACTCATCTGTAGTGTCAAATACCTACAGACACATCTGGAGGTCCAAAGTGTCCAATAGATCGAATATCCCTGAGGCAGATTGATCTGGACCCCCAGATGCATCTGGAGAGGCGCCACGCAACTCGACCAAAGGCCCTGACTGGGGCTGGTAGGACGTCCAAATCCAGATGATCAGATCAGTAAGATCTGCAGCTTAAGGAATACTCAGATGCATCTGGCAGGCTATGTAGATGCATCTGATCCGGCACAATTAACAGGTCAGATCATCTTAGAATCCTCAGATGCCATCTGAGGTAGCATGAGCCAGATGCATCTGACAGGCTACATGCACGTTATGCAAAGCAAACTTATGGCACCAATACCTCAAGTTCATACAAGTTCATACTTCATTTCATCTCACAAAAAATGGAAGAAATCAAATTAATTGAGGCCAAAGACAGACAAGCTTATTTATTTCAAGTTAGACACAAAAGAAATGAAGAGGACTACAACAATTGCATCTATTACATTGCCTCTAATGACCATCATCATCCTCAACATTCTCATCCTCATCCTCATCCTCATCCTCATCATCCACCACCTCCTCCTCCGCCTCCTCCTCCTCGTCTACAAACTCCTGTGACTTCACTTTTTTGCCACGCTTCCCTTTTCCATTTGGAATTTTAATACTTTTAGTCTTTTGTTCTGGTTTACTCGTGTTGTCTTCTTTTTCATGTCCTTCCAGAAGTTCCAATCTAAAATGATTTGTAGTTAAATCATCCATCCATTCCTGACGATGCACCTTGTGCATTGCCTTGTGACCGACTTTCAAATCTTCAGAGCTGAGTTTGGAGCCGGGTTCTTGTATGATTTGCACCGGTATCTTACGCTTAAGAAGGCCTGCCACTGGGTCACCGGTAAGGGGAAATTGTTTACCTCGAGTGGGATTATAGCCAAGTGTATCAACTACAAACAAGGAAGGAGACAAGAAATCCCGCATCAGTAATACACCCAAGATGAGAAAACAGATCACCCAAGAAATTAACACGTACCAAGTTGTTTGTTCAAGAGACTCGCCAGCTCGGTCTTCAACACATCACTCGGCTGAGGCTGACTGCTATTTTGTTTCTTTTGGGTTTTCTTATTTGCTTCGGATATGGCTTTGATCATTGACTGTCCTTGTGCTACGGTAGCGAAGACAGGACCTAAGCCAATTTCACGATCAGCCCACCTGGTAACACTGGGTACAGTTGTGAACCTTCTGGTCCATCCAGCGCCAGTTTTAGAGTTCGGAGGATGAGCACTTGAAGCCATCAATATGTATTTGAATTTTAAACGTGCACCATCACGGGCCAGCTAGCGGAAATGAGGGAGGTAAAGTCAACAAAAGGACAGATAAAAGTCGAGCAAAGGAGAGCACTTACCATCTTTCCAACCTTACGAACACACTTCAACGACTTTTTGTTCAAATTCTTTTCCAAGTGTTGGACGCCTTGTTCTTGCATGACTTTCTCGTGATCGACAAGTTTCTCGTAAAGAGGTCGGTATATCTCTTCTTCTTCATTTGTAAGCAGAGGAATGGTGGCGGGAGAATCGTTGTCTTCGGGGTTATCAAGATCAGGAACACCGGCTAAGGCAAAGAAATAATCTTTGTGAAAAACCCGACGTTCTTTAGCGTTGTAATTACCCCAAATTCTTGTGGCTTCTGCATTACGGAGTGCCATGATGTTGCCGCTGTTTTCGGCTTTCCGACCATTTGGCACTAACGAAAAAAAGACATGGTCAGTGAAAAATGTTATAAATCAAGTAGGTATCCTGAAACTGACTTTTAAGACGTAACGAATCTACGCCGTAAGCCATGAACCTTCAATAAATATCACGAGGCCGTGGAGGACTGCCCTCACCACTAATAAACATATGGAAATTGAAATGTAAGGATCACAGATGATTAAAAAGTAGAAAGATAGGTAGATCACTTACAGCTCCTTCTCTAATACGTCATGTTTCACCTTGCCAATTGCAGCCAACATCCACTTCGTCTTTTCATAGCACTGTTTTGCTAGTCTAGCCTCCGCAAGAATCTCGGGTGGAATGTGAGAGGTTTCTTGATCATTCCCTCTGGCATCGATGACACCTTGAATACGTTGGACGGGCCATGGTCTTCCCATCTTCAGAAAGTTATTAATATTGACAGTTGATTCAAACAATACAACATCCTTCTGGCCCATGCTAGCCAAATCTTCGATGGATTCTTCAGGCGGGGGTTCGGAATCAGATTCTCGCGGCCCGGTAGAGTTTTGATTGCTGTCGGTGGGGGTGGTATTGTTCTCCTCGGCAGCAGGTGGTTGCGCAGGGTTTGCTTTGTGTTGTTTACGCTTTTGAGGGGCTCCAGTCGAGGTAATGTCCGTTTCACATTCGGTGTCATTGGTCCGTTTGTTCTGATGTTTGTTCTTACTAGAAGCTGCTCGAGTTAGACGCATGGTAAGGTAAGGTGTAGAGTACGAGTATTGTGGTCGATCAGTGCTTCAATTTGTGTGAGCTTTGAGCGTTGGATGCTGAAGATGATAGGGATGGGGTGTCACTTCGTTGGTCCGTGATACTTCGGAGATCTGGATTCAGGAGCCAGATGCATCTTCTCACGTGACCATACAGATGCATCCCACGTGATCTTGTCTGCAGTCCACCTCATCCAGACCTACTTTGATGAGACAATATCACGTGGGATGGACCTGGCCAGATACATCTGATGCACTGAATATCACGTGATCCCTACATCTCAGCTTGAGTGAGATTCTGGAGCCAGATGCATCTTCTCACGTGACCATACAGATGCATCTGGTCAGATGCATCCCACGTGATCTTGTCCGTAGTCTACCTCAACCAGACCTACTTTGATGAGACAATATCACGTGGGATGGATCTGGCCAGATGAATCCCACGTGATATTGTCTATCATGTGATCCCTACATCTCAGATTGAGTTTGAATCCAAGACGCAGACTCACTCTGGGAGTGGGGCAGGCAATTTGTCGCCAGATTGATCTGGTTCCGAGATTTGTCGCCAGATTGATCTGGTTTCCCAGATCAATCTGGCACCCAAGGGTCCGTAATCTCAGAAGAATCTTGAATGAAAGATTTTGAAGGTTAGTACTTACAACAGTTCACATTTCAAATGGTCTACATGATGTTTGACATGTATGCACATATCATGTTTGACCACGATGGTCAAAAAATAACAAGATGACCATGAGATCAATTTCAAATACACTCATTCAGTTCATTGGTTTATTCATCTTCGAGATTGAACAACCAGTCAAGGACTGTTCGAGAATCAAAGGACCCAAATCGGGGAAAAAATGCAAGGTGTGTTCAAGGCACCCTACTTGACATTGAAAAAAACAAGGTGCGTTCAACAAAAAACAAGGTGCGTTCAACGCACCCAATCAGTCATCATCTCCGACCTCGACCCTGCCTGTCAGACAAAGTGCTTGGCAGGTGTCGAAGAACAACCATCTTCAATTAGTCATCTGTTTTTGAAAGTGCAGGCTGTATAATTTAAATACAATGCAATAAGCTGAAACCATGGCTAGATGTTTGATTGAATGAAACAACGCTAAACATCTACGTAAAGAATGTGTTGACCAAAGTTGAATTAAATGGTGACGTGGCCAAAATTAATTGGAAAGAGAGTTCATTGGCCTGGTGACTGTTGGTCCTCATCCATATCCGGGTATATGTGTGAATCAGAGGGGTGTTCCAGCAAATTTATGAGGTTTGAAGTAGCAAAAAGACAGGTAAGATAAGGAAATACAGGTCAGTTGAATGAAGACACAATGCTGGCCAATCACAAAAGGTTGGATCCCCACTTAAGTCCGGTTTTATTTCCAACATCTTCAATGAGAACTGGTCCTTGGTCCTGTTTTGTTGAGAAGCGGGAGCGGGAATATTTTTAGAAATTCTTTGAGTGAGATTTTGAGAGTGAAGGAGGGGGATGAGGTCAAAAGTGTTATATTAAACTAGACCTGATTTTCAATTTTGTCATCTGGGGGGAAATACATTGGCAAATATCCTACATCTTCAATGAGAACTGGCCCTGTTTTGTTGAAGAGCGGGAGCGGGAATATTTTTTTAAACTGTTTGAGTAAGATTTTGAGAGTGAAAAAGGTGGATGGCATCAAAAGTGTTATATTAAACTAGCCCTGATTTTCAATTTTGTCATCCGGGGGGAAAGATGATGGCAAATATCCTGCATCTTCAATGAGAACTGGCCCTGTTTTGTTGAAGAGCGGGAGCGGGAATATTTTTTTAAACTGTTTGAGTAAGATTTTGAGAGTGAAAAAGGTGGATGGCATCAAAAGTGTTATATTAAACTAGCCCTGATTTTCAATTTTGTCATCCGGGGGGAAAGATGATGGCAAATATCCTGCATCTTCAATGAGTGTTGGGCCATTTTTTCTGCAAAGTGGGGGCAGAGATGATTGTTAACATGTGTTTGAGTGGAATTTTGAGAATGAGGGAAGGCTTTGATGCAAAAAGTGTTATATTGAACTATACCTGATTTTCAATTTTGTCATCTGGGGGAAGAGATATTGGCACATTTCCAACATATTCAATGTGTTTGGGATCTATTTTGGAAGAATTTGTGTTGAAATTGGCATTACAAGTGGAATGACCAGAAGTGTGAAAAAACTGTGCATAATCATTTCTGACCCAAAATCCATGTACAAATCACACCAAACGCAATGAAGATGTTGGAAATGTGTCAATATCTCTTCCCCCAGATGACAAAATGGAAATTAAAGGCTAGTTTGATATAACACTTTTTGCATCAAAGCCTTCTCTCATTCTCAAAATTCCACTCAAACACATGTTAACAATCATCTCTGCCCCCACTTTGCAGAAAAAATGGCCCAACACTCATTGAAGATGCAGGATATTTGCCATCATCTTTCCCCCCAGATGACAAAATTGAAAATCAGGGCTAGTTTAATATAACACTTTTGATGCCATCCACCTTTTTCACTCTCAAAATCTTACTCAAACAGTTTAAAAAAATATTCCCGCTCCCGCTCTTCAACAAAACAGGGCCAGTTCTCATTGAAGATGTAGGATATTTGCCAATATCTTTCCCCCCAGATGACAAAATTGGAAATCAGGCCTAGTTCAATATAACACTTTTGACCCCATCCCCCTCCTTCACTCTCAAAATCTTACTCAAAAAATTCCTAAAAATATTCCCGCTCCCGCTCTTCAACAAAACAGGACCAGTTCTCATTGAAGATGTAGGATATTTGCCAATGTATTTCCCCCCAGATGACAAAATTGAAAATCAGGTCTAGTTTAATACAACACTTTTGACCCCATCCCCCTCCTTCACTCTCAAAATACAGCCCTTTGCAGGATTAATGGCTTTGGAAAAAGAGAAAAAGCTTGAGTTTTTTTCACAAACTCATTGAGTTTAACAAAAACTGAGTGAGCTCTTTCTTTATGTTTACTCTCTCAAGTTGATTGAACAATCATATCTGATCCCTCATCTCAATTGCACACATCAGCTTCAAATATGGTACATATCTCTCTCAACTTGGATGGAGTTTACTGACAATGATTCAACTCAAGTTTTGCATCATTCAGTGGCTTCAAACACATCAAATGAATTTGTTGGTATTCCCTTTGATTGATGTGGAGAACAGGTTTGTTCGACCTTGTGGGAAGAGTTCAAATGGACAAATCTGATGGTATAATTCCGTGATAATTCAAAAGGGGAGAGCCAACAATTTTAATCACATAATTTGAATGCATTCATCAAAAGTAGAAAGTTGAGACAAGGATAGCCATACACCATGATGATTGTTACCAAAATGGGCTACAAATAATGCTTGAGCTCAAAGCAAGAGGAATCAAGTTTGTTTGTGATTGGTGATATCAATTGATTCAACCAACTTCTTGCCCAGTTTTTGAAAAAACTTAGTCACTTTTCAAAAGAAGTCAGTCACTTTTTGAATAAACTCAAGGTTATTTTTGAAAACTCAGAGTTTTTTTCTCCCAAGTCATCAATCATGCAAAGGGCTGTACAAACAAACATTTTGTTGAAGTGATGATAAGATCAAATTGATCATTCACAGATTGAGTTGATGATAGCTTAATGAGAACATGGATGTATCCCTTTATTGAGAACAACAATAGCATGTTGATGACCCCATATGTATGAGTATTATGGGGTGGTGTTGATTGAGTTGATGCAAAGTGAAGGGGTATATGCAAAGATGCTTCTGGAGCCCAGAAACCAAAACTCATTTTTTTTTGGAAGTGTTGGCCAGAAGTTTATGGATGTCAATTTTTGATACTTCTGGGACACCTTCCTGGAGTTTTGAATACCCCTAATATATAGTCTATTAACCTTTATGATTGTACATGTATATCAATCCATTTGAGAATGCTTTTTTCCATTCATTTCCTCACAATTTGCCTCAAAATCAAACAGCTTCAGAAAATCACACCTCTATAGACAATCAAAAATTACATATAGACATACTTCCTGTGGAGCAAGACTGCAGGACAAAAATGTGGAGATAAATATGGCAGAAAGTAATATCAATTTCAAATTATATGATGAGGCTAGAAGATATTCAAGATTTCATTTGTCAGTATAATATAAACATAGTATTTTTCATTTGTGATTTTTTTCAAACCTCAATAACTCAGTCAATTTGCATCATAAAGGTTGATAGACTATATATTCTTGGTGGTGAACTGCAGGAGCAGTTTTGAACAGATTTATGATGACATATAGTTGTAAGGTTCTTGGTAAAGAACCTTCACTGAACTCTCCAAATCTCTCACAATGGCTCTAGAACCACTGGCAACGTAATCTAGAACTTGTGTATGTGTTACAATTGTCTAGCTAGCTCCAGTCAGGGTTTGTCAAGAGAAGAGACAATAATCAGAACAACAATCTATGAAATGAATAAGATACAATAATGATACTCTTACCTAGCTCCAGCCGGGGTTTGTGAAGAGAAGAGACCCCAACATGGAGCCAGGGTTAGTTGAGAGTAGTCAGATTCCACCTGTATAAAGCCATGAGGTATACATCCTTACAATAGTGTCATCTCAATTTTGGTAATATCTCAATAACTTCTCACTATATGGGTGATATCCATTTGATATCCAACTCAAAACAAATTCAAAACATTGATAAGTTGCCAGGCTGCACTGGTTTGCCAGTGACTTGTGATTGGCGGCTGTGCTCATACTTCAGAATACAGTGATGAGTCCAAAACCTTTTGAGAAGTACTTTAACACACTTCCAACCCAGCCAGAACCTTTCTCTCAGAGTTTTATGTTTTGCCTGCGGATAAATTTTTCAGTGTTCCCATTGTGGTCCCAAGGAAAGAGTTGACAGTTCCACAACATGCCTTATGTTTTCCTGCATGAAAATCATTCAAAGTGTCCTTTGAAAGAACAGTCTTGTTATCTTCTTT